ATTCTATTTTTCACACTGCCAAATTTAAAAACAACTCCAGAATGGGAGAAAATATTTTCAAATAATGTACATGGTAAAGGATTTGTATCTAGAATATATAAAGAACTGATAATTCATTATAATGAAGGAAAAGCGGGCAACATATCTGCACAGCCATTCCTGCAAGGAAGATATACGAATGGCCACAGAGGCTAGGAGTTTTCTGTAGCAGTGAAGACACTTCAGACACCCATATCCCACTTCATAGTGCCTCTTTTCAGTCCCAGCACCGCTCCCAGTTCCAGCATGCTGTTCATGCAAACTTTACAAGGCAGCAGGCTGGGGCCCTGTCACCCACATAGGAAACCCAAACCAAATTCCCAGCTGCTGGAACTCCCAGCTGCTGGTTTCAGCCTTTCCCAGCTCTGGCTGTTACAAAATTTGTACAGTGAACCAGTACTTGGGAGATTCTCTGTCTCTATCTTTGTTTCAAATTAAATAAATGAAAAATCTTAACTATCTAACAAGTATGTTAAAAGATAATGAGAAATGGAAATTCTCTTTGAAAATACAAATCAAAACCAAGATACTACTTCACATCCAATAGGAAAATCATAACCAAAAAACAATGACAAGTACTGGAGAAGTTACAGAGAAGTGAGGATATTCATACATTTCTGGTAGTAATATAAAATGTTACAATTTATTTGGGAATACTTTTGCAATTCCTCAAAGTTATAAGCACTGAGTTATCATATAACCTAGCAATTTATCTCCAAGGTATGTATATCTAAGAGAAATGAAAAATACGTCCCTAAAATTTATGCATGCCTGATATCATGATATTCAAAGAGTAGAAAGAATCCAAAAGTCTATCATCTGATGAACAAATAAAATACAATATTCATAAAATGGAATATTACTCAATAAAAAGAAATGAAGTACTGATATTTTCTACAATGTGTGAACCTTTAAAAAGTATTCTCTTAAGTAAAAAAAGCCAGTCACAAAAAAAAAAATAAAAGAGAAAAAATCATAGTATGATGCACTCATGAATCTTTTGGAATAGATAAGTTTATAAAGGTGGGATGTAAGTTAGTGGTTGTCTACAGAGTAGGGATATTGGAGAGAAGTGAAAATTGACTGCTGATTGACACAGGAGCTCTGGGGAGTGATGAAAATGTTCTAAAATTAACTGTTGTGATAGTGCACAACTCTGAATCTGCTATAAACTAATGGGTCTTACATTTTAAATGAGCAAGTTATATTGAATACAAATTATATTTCAGGAAATCATTTTTTAAAAATTTGACCCACATAACATTCCCCATTCTCCATCCTGTCATGGGTTTACTTGTTTTGTATAACTTTCTTACCATATCAGTCAGATCTTGAAAGAGGAAATAAATGTGGTTGCTCAGTTCATGCTCTTGCTCTAGAAGCTCCTTAGGATTATTTTACAAGAGAACAGCTCCCGAAAATTTAGGGCACACGAAACTTATGGGATTGGATGTATCACACAGGATCTATCATTGAGTTCACCCAGGCAGGAAAATCTCAAGTCACAGTGAAGGGCTGAGAAGACTAACTGGGCTTGCCGTTTAAGATCTAAAGCAGTCGAGAGAAATTGTCCTCCTGGATCTTTGCTCCTTGGAGAATGTAACATGGTTCCAAGAAGCTTTCTGTTGAAATATGCGATAGAGAATTTAAAATGCAGTAGGAAGAGATACATTGCTCTCACAGGGGTATGCACAATGAAGAACACTTGGACTCTTCCAGGAATGGTTCTGTAATGTGGATCGGGACTCCTCTCCTGCACCACAGGAATCAAGTTATTCTCAAACCCAATCCAAGGGCTTCTCAGCACCTTTTTTTCTTAGAACTTTAGTTGATAATCACAGGGTGTCAGGTCTCAGACCCCACACTGTTGGCAACAACTTTACTTCACCATCAAAAGCACACGGACCCCTCTATCATCCACTACCAAGTGGACAACTAACTTCTGTTTGGGAGTTTACAGTGACATGAAATCCACTACCTTACAACAATCTTCATTCTTTATTTGTACAGCATTATGGACTAGAAAGTTCTTTCTTATTTTAGGAATATTAAGTTTTTCTTTAACATTCACACATTGGGTCCTAAGAATTTGGTTTCTACTCAAACATCTTCCTTATGACAGCCTTCTTGATGTTCATCATTATGAACTTTTTAACATATGTCCTCCAGGCTAAACTCAAAACTTTCATCACTATCTCCTTATGTGACAAGAATTTTAAAAGCTCATTATCATTGTGGTTATCCTTGAACTCCCTAGTAACTAGACTGAACTTGTTTCCACATCTATAAAATAGGGATGGGTGATAAACCTACCATCCTGAACTAGAAAAACGAATTAAATATGTGAGAGTGTTTTCATAATCTTAAACACTTTCTAAACATATAATGCTTTTAAAATGAACCTGCTTCCTGGAAGGCCTCTTGGCAACACGCGTTAGGAACGTGCAGTTCAGAATGCAGTCTGCAGACACACCTGGAATTACCTGGAAGTTTGTTCACAATAAAGAATCACAGGCCCACCCCACAACCCTTAAATCCCTGTCTGCATCTTGACAAGATCTCCAAGTGTTTCATATGCAATGAAAGTTTGAGGAGCACTGTCAACTTGAAACTCTGCAAACACTTGACTGTGCAACTCTTGTGTTGGGAATTTATCATGAGAAAATGATTAGACAAATGTGAAGAGATGTGCATAAAGTGCACACCATTTTCACCACAGCAGAACCTCAGAAAGAACCTAACTGTCGACTAAGAGAAAATTGGCCAGGTGCTTTATGGCTCATATATGGATATATCTGTTTCCCAAGGAAGTTTTTTTGGTATTTGGCATGCCTAGACCAATTGCCAACTAGGACATTGGTATGCCAATGTACCAAAATACCAAAAATGCCATTTGCCAGCCAGCGCTGTGAAGAAGTAACTACCTGACCTGTATGGTACCAAGAAAATGCCAGCTGCTCAGTTGATATATGCTTCTTAGAACACACTCGTGGGTTTAGTTTGGCACAAAAAACATCAGTATCTCTACATTATTTATATCTGGAGGAGAATCAGGGTTTAGTCAGTAAAAAAATGGCCAGCATATCCAGGTGTTTCCTTTGCTTTGTATGATAATCAGATATAATTATTACTAATAGGTCTTCCATTGACATAACCAACCAAAGGGATAGTGAAGATATAAATAATTCTTTACAAGCTACTTACAAAATCTGTGACACAACTGTCAATGAAGCAGCTTAAATTTTGTTTCCTTTTCAAATGAGAAATTGATTTAGTTCTTTATTTCTTAGCCACTGATGATCACCTTTGTTTAATTTATTACTCTTATTGCAGACCTGTTCTATTTGTTAAAGAAAGCCTTTCTTCCTGACCAAATTCAGTTTGGCAGTTGGAGGGGAAAGGGTGCTTCCTGCACAACTTACGTAACCTTGCAAATCCACCCTGCACGCCTGAACCCCAGAGCTCCCGTCTCTCTTTTATTTTCCTTCATAACTCTCATCACCACATACCACTCATTTCATTTTACTTGTTAGTTGTCTGACTCCTTCCACTAGAAAGCAAGGTCCACAAAGCAGGAGGTTTTGTCTCTTTTGTTCATTGTTATATGTGGAGCACTTAGAGAGTGTCTGGCACTTAGGAAGTATTTAATGCCTATTTGTTGAATGAATTTATGTAAAACATTTTTAGGGTCCTTCTAGACTGGCCTAGTTGTGTTGGGATAGAAAGTCCTTTACCATCATAACTTAGGCTATATTCATAGTGCACTAGGGTTTTATAGTCTCATGATTTAGTTGTTTATAAACATTAATACTAATAAATCAGACTGTAAGAAAATGCAACTTAATCAGTTCTCTATTAAGACAAAAAGTGGGCAATGGATAGGAATCTCACAGAAGTCCCACTAGGTTCATCTAAGGCAGAAGAACCAGCGTAATACTTAATTATGGGTAGGGTAAGTATCTGTGAACAGGTGACAACAGTATATGAGGACCCAGAAGTCCCCATATCTAGGAAAGTCAATCCAGAAGAAGATGTGAATCCCACGAGGTAAGGGATTCAGTCAGTCTTGTTCAGCTAGGCACAACGATATGCCAGAAATAATTCCTAGTACACAGAAATTACTACTTGTTAAATGGATGAGTAAACCAGTAAGTCAATGGAATTCACATAACCATTAAAAATGCTGCTATAGGCTGGCGCCATGGCTCACTAGGCTAATCCTCCACCTGTGGCGCCGGCACACCGGGTTCTAGTCCTGGTTGGGGCGCCGGATTCTGTCCTGGTTGCCCCTCTTCCTGTCCAGCTCTCTGCTGTGGCCCGGGAGTGCAGTGGAGGATGGCCCAAGTCCTTGGGCCCTGCACCCACATGGGAGACCAGGAGAAGTACCTGGTTCCTAGCTTCAGATCAGCGCGGTGCGCTGGCCGCAGTAGCCATTGGAGGGTGAACCAACGGCAAAGTAAGACCTTTCTCCCTGTCTCTCTCTCTCTCACTGTCCACTCTGCCTGTCAAAAAAAAATTTTTAAAAAATGCTTCTATAGATACAAAGTTCTTAATACACTGGAAAGTGAAAAAGCAAGTTGGAAATCAGAGTGATTTCATTTTTGTTTGTCTATCTGTATGTGTATATAAGCAGGTGGAAAGACATACCAAAATGTTAATTGTCTTTTTTATTATCTCTGGAGAGTAAGATTAGGGGTATTTCAACTTCTCTATACTTATCCATATTTATTAATTTACTAAGGAGCATTTATTGCATCCACTATAAGAAGGATTTTTGAACCATCTGTAGGCTATGTACATATATATAACATTATGATAAAGACATTCCTTCATCACTCCTCAACTCAAAACCTGAGCCCCATGCTTAGTTTCCAGATTCTAACAAAGTCCTTGGTGTCTCAGCTGGCAGAAGGATGAGGGAGGGGTGAAAAGCTCCTCCCACTTCTCGAAGCTTCCTCCAGCTCTTACAAATGCTTCTGCTGCCTCCTAGCACACAACCAACCAACCGAGAACACTACCCTGCGGAAGGGACAGTGCTGAAAGCCAACAGGAGAGGTAAGATGATAGCTGGGGGCAAAGATGGAAAAGAAAAACCTGAAGAACGCCACCCTAGAGTTGGCTCCCTTCCTTAGTGCTGTGTTAGAGTAGTCAGGCTTTATTAAATGAGTTGCTTTTAAATGTGAAACACAGACATGGCTTTGTAAACAGGTTTGCAGCAAAGTCCTTCAGGCAGTTCAGCTTCTCTTACGCGGAGGAGGAGACTGGGATGTGACTAAGGAGGTGTTTTATTCAATGACTGCTGCTGATTAAATTGCCGCCCATTACCTGACCACGACCTGAGGATTCTCTTGCCTTTATCCCAGTTAGGAAGTATCGATTGGTCAAACCCTTGGCAAGAGACGATGGCAAAGAAGGTGGCAGTGATTGGAGCGGGGGTCAGTGGCCTGATCTCTCTGAAGTGCTGTGTGGATGAGGGACTTGAGCCCACTTGCTTTGAGAGGACCGAAGATATTGGAGGGCTGTGGAGGTTCAAAGTAAGTGAGATTTTCTTGTCTTTTGAATAAGTTATGCTGCTATTTCAGGGTAAGTCCAGCTGCTGATGGGCCTTATTGAGGGATTTCTTAAACCACTTTGGTCAAGTTGATTTATGTAGCCCTCTGGAAGCTAAAGTCATAGGGCGTTAGCTCCTCCCAGGCCAACATTATCCCAATCCAGGTGGCCACTCAGGCATGTAAAAGGTCTCTCTTTGTGTCCAGTAATTGTCATGCAGCCATATTGTTGTCACTCTATAATACACTAATTAGAAAATATACTAATATTAAAATGTTTTAATAGAAGAAACAGGGATGCTTTTGTAGACACCATTTCCATTTCAGTCACTGAGTCAAATGCTTCTTCAGATAATGTGCCCTTTAAATCTACTGCTTGTTTTCATTGACAAAACATGTTTGTTTTCTAAGATTCACTGATGATAGTTCAGGATCACTTTTGTAAGACTATACATTATGCGTATCCTAATAATCCAATTAATTCAATTAGCCAAATCAAATATGAATAATTCTAGCTGTTCTTCAGAATTTGGATAAAAATTAGAAAGATGTACAAGCAACCAGAAATGATTTATAATCATTTCTTCCAATGATTTTTTAATAGGCATTAATTACCACATCTTACTGGTGAGATCTTAGGCAAACTCTTTATGTTTCTGTGTCTCAATTTACTCAGTAATACATGAGGATATTAGCAGGAAATTGTATTTATCTCACAGTACTGTTCAAAGAATAAGAGAAATAACTCATGTGAAGAACTGAAAAGTTTGATTTATAATAGAGTTTAATAAACATCACCTATTAATAATAAGTACATAATTGATGGATGAGCAAGCAGAAATGAGGGAGGATAAAGGAGTTAGCCAAGTCCATGCAGCCGAGGAACTCACATTCAATCTCAGGCCAGTGACTCCCAAGCAACTAAGCCCCAATTTTTAACAATGCCCTAATTTACATTCTTGCCAAAAAGGTTAAAGGAAAGTTTAAGCTCAGAACTCAAGGGCAATGACTTTAGGATTCTGTCAGACATATCTAAGTGAGATACTGAAACATGTGAGAACCTTCCAGAAAGGAGGAAAGAGCTGAGTGCAATGAAAGCAGACCCTTATTTATATCAGCAAAGACCCCCCAAAGGCTCTCAGGACGGGCTAGGGTGGTGGCAAAGGTGTCCAGCCTATGTGCTGTACCGGCTCCAACTAAACCATATGTGTAAAGGTTTTTTTTTTTTTTAATATTAGGTTTCTCAAATGCCTGTGATCATAGGACACACCTGGGAGGTTTTTTTTGTTTTATTTTTAACATTCTGAATCCTGGGCACCAGCCCAGACTTAAAGTCTTCGGATGGTTTTTAATATAAGTCTCAGAAGAATCCCATGGTAATACAGGTTTGGCAGACATTGCACTAATATCAAATTAAAAAAATCTATTCCTTCAACTATCCAAACACACTCAGAGTTGATGATGGGGAAGTTGATCCTCATGTAAGGCAAGAAGCTTTATACAAAGGAAAACTGGAAAAACAGCTTGAATCATATTCATTTCATACCAACAACTGGCCATTAGTGTCATTATATGTTTGCCTGAAAGGGTAATACAATCTGGTGGTCATTCTTCTTTTAACCAAAGATAGATTATTTCTGTATACCCTTGGTTCAAATGCAGATTCTGCTTGGGGTTTCTTTATTCCTGAGTAGAATTTTCCCTCCAAGGAAGAAATGTAGAAATTACAACAAATTTGTGTTTAATAATAAATTTACCATTTTATTTCATTACTTGATTAAGGATTTAATGACTAGGAACCAAATGCCCCCTGTTTGATTGTTACTAATTTGCGAGCAAAAAAGGAGTAGTCTGTCAGTAAGATTTCATGAATTCCAGGAAAGCACTTCCTGTCCAAAAATATTTCTCCTGCTCTCCTTTTCTCAATGTCTAAAATTTCAGAATTAGAGATGCCTTCCTGATTTACAAAAGTCAGAATAAAATCTGAATTTGCTTTATTGAATATTAATGAGTTATGTAAACAGCTCTCTGGAACCTGTAAAAACATTGTATTAAAACTAACCAATAAAGAAATATAAGCAATTTTCTCCATCCCAAGAAAAAAAAGAATCTCCCTACAGAGTAAAACATGCAATAAACAGCAATGTTCCACAGGCTGTGGCTGGGGCCACCTGGAGGTCTTGTTGAATGACAGACTGGACTATCAAGAGGAGGCACTGAACAGTGTGCTGGGACCCCCCTCACCTATCCCCAGGAAGATGCACCTCAACAACTCTGCTATCCAGAATCAAGTTTTTAAATTAATTATTCTTTAATTTCCCATCTTTCTGAGATCATGTAATACATTTAATGGTGTAGAATAAAAAAACAAATTAAAAATCCTAGTCCCATGCTCATTCCAGACAGTGCTGAACTCTACCCAAAGGTTCTCCAGCACCCTCTAGTGACATTTTCGGGATATGGGAAAGGTGGATAATTCTATTATTTCAGTGTTTTTGTTTGTTTTGTTTTGTTTTGTTTGATTCCTGTTTTTCTCTGCAATGGGAAGCACTGGGCACGCTTCATTTTTCTTCACAATATCCACAGAAAGGAGGTCTTAGGACCATTCTCATTAACACACGAACAGGAGACTGAAGTTTGGGGCAAATGACTTGCCTGGAGGAATGTAAGTAATAGAGAAAAGCGGAATGAAGGTCTGGATGATTCCTGAAGCCTCACACTTCATCCCTTTATCATACTGAGAAAAACATGATTTTCCTTCAGCCATTAATCTTCTCTGTATTCTTTATTGTTCCATGTACCCTGTGTTTACATGAAAGTTACCAATTCACATTGCATTTCTGGGTTTCTTGGAGGTGCATGCATGGGTTAGTGAGATGTGCACTTGCATGTATATAATATTTTCTAGGAATATATTCCAACTTGTTTTCATTAATCTTCGTGTGCCAGTTTGTAGCTAGTGTTTCATCTTGCTCTTCTTCCTCTAGATTGAATCTTTTTTTAAAGATTCATTTTATTTATTTGAAAGACAGAGTTACAGAGAGAGGTCGAGACAGAGACAGAGGTCTTCCATTCGCTGGTTCACTCCCCAGGTGGCTGCAACAGCTGGAGCTGTGCCAATCCAAACCTAGGACCAGGACCTTCTTCTGGGTCTCCCACGTGGGTGCAGGGGCCCAAGGACTTGGGCCATCTTCCACTGCTATTTCAGGCCACAGCAGAGAGCTGGATCAGAAGAGGAGCAGTCAGGACTAGAACTGGTGCCCATATGGGATGCCGGCACTTCAGCCCAGGGCGTTGACCCACTGCGCCATAGCGCCAGCCCCTCTAGATTGAATCTTAAGATCCAATTCCAAACAACTTGCTTTTCTTAAGATACATTTTTCAGAACCAAGGAGGTATCAGACACTGCACTAGACAATCTAGAATGAATCAACCTGCCCTCAACAGACTTACAATCAAGTGGGTTGATAGTTGCTCACTGACTTTCACTGCACTTGGCATGGATACTATACCACTCCTGAAACAATTTATGTTGAATTCACTTATTGAGTGTTAACAAAATAGAAGCTAGCATTTGTACAATTATTTTAGTATGTATTATCCCATTTTCACACACATTAATCTGACACATCTGTTGTTAGGAATGTCAACTTAAAAGTGATAAGGACAAGGACAAGCTGCTAGTAAGATAAGTGATACATCGCAGAGCCAGCCCCAAAATTGAGATTAAGTACACCTGGTTCACCATTATGCTTCCTCTCACATTACACTTTTCATTCCTGATGAGTTTGGGATTAACTAAAATCCTGAGGCCTTTTCAATTTGAGCCCCTGATGCTGAAAATCTCTATTATACTATCTTAGTGAAACTAATTTTAACCCTATTTTGAAGAACTCATTTATGTACATACATATTAAATAGTATTAGGGGGCCGGCACCGTGGCTCACTTGGTTAATCCTCTGCCTGCAGCGCCGGCATCCCGTATGGGTGCCAAGTTATAGTCCCGGTTGCTCCTCTTCCAGTCCAGCTCTTTGCTGTGGCCCAGGAAGGCAGTGGAGGATGGCCCAGGTGCTTGGGCCCCTGCACCCGCATGAGAAACTGGGAGGAAGCACCTGGCTCCTGGCTTTGGATCGGCGCAGCGCGACAGCCGTAGCAGCCATTTGGGGGGTGAACCAACAGAGGGAAGACCTTTCTGTCTCTCTCTGTCTAACTCTATCTGTCAAAAAAATAGTATTTAGTTGGTTTGATCCTTGGTCAAGAAAAATTTTCTGAAACTTTCAATCACCTGTCATCTTTGCCATGTCTCTCTGCTTTAGGTACACACAAATCTTATCATTGGTAGTTGTCTCCATGAAAGTAATTGATAAAAATGTAGACCATAGGAGAATAAAAAATGTGAGACAGCTACCTGGGATGTTAAATAGGACTTCCCATAAGGTGCCATCTCCACACTGACCTGACCATGGACTCTATCTATTTTTTCTGTTTCTCACTGTTTTAGTTGGCATGTGCTTACTAACAGTACATCCTGTTCACTTGGAGTATAACATTATACAGAACTAGCTTGGAACAAAGAGTCATTTCCTTTCCAGAAAAGATAACTGCCTTATCCTTGTTTCCCCTGCAGAGTCCTCTTGGATACATTTATCCAAAGAAACTATCACAGCATGATCCACTATAACAGGTTTTTGCACCCTGCTTCCCATTTAATGGAACCATATTTAACATGTTAAACACTGTAACTCTCCAGATAAGGAAATGTAAAGGGTCAAAGTCCTTTGGGTCTCTTTGCCAACAGTCTAACATACACCACTGTGGATTTTCCATAATATTTTAAGATGCTTACATGCAAAGAACAGAACAAAATTTACAGTATACTCTCAGCAGAATGTTTTCATATATAAAACAAAACAAATTTTATAACATGCTATCAGCAAGGCCATTTGTTTATTTCATCATCATACTGAATGCCCATGTTAGATTC